ACCACTGCTTCTGTTTGTTTGAAGTCTGCTTGACTTTCTCAACCCCTGTCTGCTTCAGCTTAGGCACGGCTTAAGTTTGCTTCCCGAAAAAGGACAGCAGGCACTCACAACTTCGAACGGCTTTAGGAATTCGATCGCGGCGAGATCCCCTCTACTTGGGGGGTCTGCAATGTTAGATTCGGAAGGTACTCTAGCCATCCAGCACAAAGCTTCTCCATGCATGTCGATCTTCTCGATCTCAAGAAGAATATTTCTCCAAGGTTTCTTCGTGGAGGATCCTTTGACGTAACAGTCAATGGCCCCCCAATTGTCCCCAAAGAAAATTACCCGTCTGCCTGAGATCAAATGAAACCAGAGTTTGTACGCCACTGCAACTCCATAGAGTTCCACTAGTCCGATCGGATGGGGCCCATCCAAAAGCCACACGTCAAGAATCTCTGGGGCTACATGGCAACCAAACACCTCGATGCGCCCATCGTCTGGGCAAACACACACTCCGCCTATGGTAGCGGTTGGAGTGTCGTTTCCACTTGGTTCAAGAGCACCATCCGTGAAAATCAGAATTGGCCTTTGAAGTTGTCCGGACTCCAGGACCTTAGGCTTACCATTACAAAGGCGAGTCTTCAGAACGCAAAAGGCATCGAGAACCTCTTCGGGCACGGTTATGGGAACTTTGCTCTGAGTTCCTATTTCGCGAATGTCAGCCATGGCCAGCTTGCCTGACCGCCCTGCCAGATGCATTCCAACGAATTGCAATCTACCCAAGACTGATGGGATATCCGCTGGCACAACCTGCTTAGTTGCTATCACTTCTTCAAGCATGTTCAGTGTGTCCGCAAGCCTGGACTCTTTGTTAGCTACAACCACTTTCGCGGGACACTGCACGGCAATCTTCACTCCTAAGACCTCCGCTTCTGGTCCAAAGTCACTAAGTTTGTCTGCAGCAAACTTGAAACCTAGGGTTGAAAAGAGGCTCTTAACAGCGGCCATGGTAGACTTAGTTTGGAGCGCACACGTCAAACATGGGTAGTCGTCAAAATAATTTGTCCACCATACGTTCAGCTCAAGTCCTATCCTCCAGATCAACCGGGCGACCCTATTGAAGTGAAGTACGCTTGCAACACTTCCAAAAGGCAGAGTATTCATTATGAAACACGCAGGACTTCCGTCCTTAGGGTTGGCCAAAGACACAACGGTGCAGTCTCTCTCTTGTGGATTCAACGGCAGTTGTTTATAGGCACTCTCAAGATCGAACGTGGTGATCAACAGGTCTTCTTTCGCGTGCGACCAACCTGAATGCACTGGTCCTGAAAGCTCCGTGCCGTCATCCAGCTTGAAGTGCATGTCCCTGCGGTGCAACGAGCAATTGAGCACCATCATGGCACTCCAAACTAAATGGTCAACAGCATGGAGGTCAATTCTCTCAGAAGAACTGAACGCTTCATTCAATCTGTTTTCCTTAAAATCATCTATTGGTCGAAGTTTGCCTTTTTGGTGCAGAGCAAACCTGCGAACTGGAAGCCATGGTTCTCCGACTTTGACTGATATCTCAGTTGGAGTGTATGGACCCTCTAGCCACTTTTTTGACACTGCTTCATCCACCGTTATGTCATACAATGCCTGAGAGTCTTCGCTCAAGCCTCCTGCTTTGATCTTCCCCAAGAGTGCAGGCTTTAGAAACTTGGCGTCTTTCATGAGTTTGGTTTTGTCGAAAGATCCAAGTTTGAGTTCGGTTCTAAATACTCCACTAGGCAACGCTTTGCCTGTTAAGAGGAAACCGGACCTGATTTCTTCAAACAGGCGCATGCCTGGCCAGTTGATGGAGGCTGCAATCTTTTCGAGAAGCAAGAGTCTTTTACCTTGCAAGCATTGACGAACTCCCGGGTCCATCCGTTGGTGCAAAGCTGCCTCGTCTTGAGCGAGTTCTGAGGCCCAAGTGTTCCATAGCTTTACCGTGCGAATTCTGGCCTTGGTCATCTCGAGTGGTCCTATCAGCAAGCTGTGAAAGATGCACAGCACTAAATCGTGTGGTAGATTTATCAGCTCATCATATGGATGCCACAAAGAGCGTGACACCTGCAAGAATTCTTCGGCAGTACGATAGATACCAAAGACACACATCAGTTTGCCCCATTTCGCTTCAGTGCGGAGCAATTTGGAGCCAACTGGAATGTCAAAAATCGATGATGTGAGCTTGCGCTTATCATCGATCGTGGGACTGGTGTCTAAGAGTTTAGACACAACTGCACGGAATTCAGAAACAATCTGGGGTATACCTCGACCTTTAGCCTGTTTAAAAGCTTTGAAGTGTGACGAAGTAGAGGCAGCGGAGTGGCTAACGTTGGCTCCGGCACACAAATCGGTCAAGATGTGAACATATTGTCTGCAAAGCTCTTTGGGGTATTCAGCTTCCTTAGCTGTGTTGAACATGCCAGCCTCCGCATCGTACCCCCACGCTTCATGTTCATGCGATCCGTCGCAAAAACGCTCGAGCGATGCAAAGTCTGTGCAACTGCAAAGGAAAGCTGTATCCTTTTTACGAGTCCCCCCATAGGCACATGGATGCAAATGATATATGTGCCCCATGGCCATTAAAGGTTCCATTTCGGGCAAGTCCCAAAGCCATGAGTTGCTCGGATTTTCGATCGTCCAAGGAGTACCAATAGTATCAAGAAACAGCACAAACTGAGAAGCCCAAGCATACAACGCGTTGGCAGCTTGGACTTTAACCTGATCCCACGGTGGCAAACCTGGCAAGCCGTGCAAATGCGTCGAACTGCGAAGCGGCTGGGGTCCTGGGGCCCCGTCCGCCATTGGAATTCCCCTTGCTTTGGAGCATGTACCACACGGTAAGGCTATATGCACAGCAACTACGTTAAAATTTGAACAAAGCCATCGAAGTGTTGCGTCTGCGAATTCGGAAGTAAGATCCATGGTCAGGATCCTGCACTGAGGTCGGTGCCTGTTGCGTTCATTGTCAATTTGGACCACTTGAAACCCTTGTTCCTTAGCAGTCGCACTGAGGATGCCACAACCTGCACAAGCTTCGACAAAAATTGGTACAGACGGATCTGTGCAAAAACTGGCAGTGATGGCACTTTGGATGTCACCACTACCGACTGCTTCACTTGGAGCGCCCTTGAAATGTTTCAAGAGCGACGCATCATCCCGCTCAGCTTCGCGAGAAGGATGTCTTTTGTGGGGCATGGCTTCTGCCCGTGGTACTCCCTGCTTCGGAGCATCACCAGCTTCAGTCAACTGTCACTCGTACTTCTTTTTGTTGGGGCACTCCACCGCCGGGTGGTTCTTAAAGCATCCCTTGATGCAGCAGAGATGGAGGCCCCGATCACACTTCTGATTGGACACTGGAAGCTTGCACGTCTTCAAAGAAAAACCAAAACACAATCGATGTCCTTTGGATGTAGTGGCAACCCCGCCGAGCTTCAACAGATCAGTGGGGACACGTTGGAAGGTGTCACCTTTCTGCCTCCCTTTGCCCCTACCTTTTTCGTCCTGTCGTTGCTTTTTGACAGGTGGCTCTTGATCAACTCCTGTGGGCAATGAATTGCCCATGCGCGGCTGCAACAAATGGCGGAACTCAGCCATCTGAAACACTCTTGGAAAGCACAGGTCACATGGGCGACCACTGGCATTGGCTTTAATGCCTGATCTTGTTTCCTCTGCCATCAGTGCAAAGAACTTTTTATCAGCGAGCTCAATCTGCTTAAGTGACACTCGTTGATAGCCGGCTGGAGGGTCCTGCATGCGAATTTCCATGAACAATTCAGCCAGCTGGTCATGAAGCTTAAAGTCTAGAACATTTGCTTGTTCGAGAGCTAGGCCTCTACGCGCTAAGCAATAGCGAATCTGAATCTCAGTGGTGCTCTGGATGGGATCCGGCTTGCTATGCTTCTGCAGCTTGAGCAATCTGTCACTGGTGAAGGTCAGGTTCGAATCTCTCTTGACATTATTACAAAGTTCATACTCTCGAGAAATGCATGAAGACCAATCTATGTACACAAGGCGATCACTCTCATAGCACGCGCAACAACGATCGACCAATGTGTCTCCCGGTTCGTATTGGCCTCTGATCGAAATCCGGGTCAATCGCTTTTGCTGGGCCTGCAATCTCTCAGCTCGTTCTGCTGGAGCAAGCTTCCTAGAGGTGCTTTCGTCAGTCTGCTCAACCTGACTCTTGATGTCAGCTGCAACGTTTGCAAAGCTTTCGTTAAACAAACGACGGAAACAGCTGAGCTCAACTGGTGATGCATCTCTTCCCAAAACATCCTTGAGCATATCAATAAAAGGCTTGTCTGAGGTGGATGCTGGAGAAAAGTTACAACTGAATGCAAACAAGGCCATCGTCTTGAACCCTTTGTTCTTGAGGAGGCGGAATGTCGCTTCATCCAATCCAATCCTCAAGGCTCGTTGTTCAAAGACCGCCTCGCTGTCACCGTAGGACATGGTTCTAGACTCTTCTAAGTGCTTTGCCAAAATGGCTGTGAAACAAACTTGACACTCGCATGAATTGCTTCGCTCCGTGACATGTACATGACAGCAAAAAAGCGAGTAAGTCTGATCCAAACAGGGTGCCCCAAACCACTTCTGAAAGCTCAAGAAGCCTAGTTGGGGTACTCAAAAGAAGACGAGAAGAAAAATAACATTGAAAGACCGCTGCGTAAAATTGAGAGATTATGCAACAACGTCTTGAAAAACTCGCGTTTCGCGGCAAACAAGCACTTGGATTTTTTCCTTTCATGGTTCATAGCTTGAAGCATCCGTTGCATGCAGGGTGCATGAACTTCGGAGGAGAGGTTAGGTGTTCATAGTTTGTCGTGACTGGCCTTCCACACTTGAAATGAGTGCCACCTTCGCCAATCAAAGCGTGGATACACCTTGATCTGCTATGCCTGGCAAAAGTCTGACCTTCGACAAGCTTCGGTCGCCAATCACCTACAACTTCAGCAATGACTTTCTCCTCAAACTCGTCCTCGGTTTCCTCTTCCCCGCCTGAGCTTCCGCTGTCTGACGAATCGGAGACGGTCGCCTCCGGAGGCGAAGCTTCACTTGATTGACTGCGTTCGGGAAAATAGCCGGATCTAGTCTCGTCCGGCTTAAACTTACTTTCACGAATCTGTGCAATCATGTCATCAAGGCTTCTGAGTGGAGCTGCCATAGCATCCCTGCTGTATACTAGCATGGACTGGTCACTACCTTTCGAGTGATACCCAAGGAACCTGCGATGACCATGGTTCATGCCCCATTTCGCTGCCATGCTTAACAAGCTGGCCTTGCAAGAATGGGTTGCAGGTCTGTTTGCATCGTGTTGGCTTAAGTTCAATAACGAACGCAGCCAGTCACCCCCCGAACCGACTTGCAAAGGCAGACCTGACCACCTACCATCAACATGGGGCGCCGGCAACAAAGGAACGTTCTCCTTGGCCTCCAGATTTGCCTTTGCCCGAAGTTCGAGCCAAGTGAAGACCCAACAAGGATCTGCAAAACTCACCAACGGTATTGCAATTGGCAGGTGACGAACCTTCCGTTCCAAGGTAATCGATGTTTTTGTTTTCGAAGCTGTGCATTCGAGGTAACCCAAAGGTCTTGTGCCCCCAAACACACAGTCCAGTGTCATTGCATTGATCTGCATGCCATCACTGAACCTCAGGCGTCCAAAGACGAGCATCAAGAAGAATCCAGCTGCTATCCGATCTTTGTCCGTCTTAGATGTGCTGTGAACGATCTTCTCGAGTTCAATGATCTGTGCAACGGTCAAAGGTGGCTTCTGGACAAGCTTTTTTCTGTCGCAATAGAACTTTGTTGAGATACCTCTGACACGTGAACTCTTCACTGCAAGGTCCCCACCAACAAGCCCCAGCACGTGATATCCAAAAGACAATGAGACCAGCAAAGACCGCGGCGCGCTCGGTGCAAAATCGTCTCTGGACTTCAGGTAGCTGTAAACCATATGTTCATGTATGGGGAAAGCGTCTATTCCTTGATCGTTCCAGAACTTTGCATACTTGATCAAGTGGTTCGCACGATTATGCAGAGTTGATGAAGCTTTCCCTGACAAGGCATCAATGACGCTCTCCATAAGTCCTCCTTTTGCATATTGTAAAGGACCAGATTCGAAAGACTTGACGCCAATGTCCTAAGCTCTTATGTTCTGCAAGATCAAAGTGCACCACTTTTTGCAAGCACACTTCCGTTCCCATGACAGTCGCTCCTCCCAGAGTCTTGTATCTGAAGACTTTGCTGCCTTCAAGCCAACTCTTTTGAAGGCGTCTTCTAAACATCCTGCCAAATCTTGACTAGGCTCTAGAGGATTTATGACTGGCATAGGTGTGAGATGCTTGTCCCATGTAAACAATTGCAATGACTTCTGATGAACTTCATGTGGCGCTGTCATAGTCAGATCCCAAGGCATATTAAACATCTTCTTTGTCTGATGGGCTTTCCAACAGTTAGCAAGATGAAAATTGTAAGCTGTTTGAGATCCGTCACCCGACATCTCCTCCCAAGTCCGCTTCAGTTCACCTGGAAAAGATGGAGTCGGCATTGTCATCGGAACTGGAACACCAATCGGCAACGCTCGGAGTCTGAACCTGGATCCACGGTTGACAACTCACGAGGATGGCAACAGCCACGGGAGTCAATGCTGCCAAGTCAGAATTGCCAACGGATGAACCAGCAGGATGATACAAAAAGGCCAACACACAATTTCGGATGTCAACAGCGAAACCACCGCCAGCGAATACGTAGGCCAAGTTCGGATCCAATGCTGTCAGTTGAAACCGGCCAGGAGCAGCCGGCAGGAGTCGGCCAGACCGAATCATGCACTGAGAATAATCCAGACTCTAGCAAAACACCCACAGAGACAGCCAACCACAAAAA